TCTTTGTTTCTCACATTTAGATGTGTCTCTGAGCTTCAGCAGCTAAAAAACTGTTCACATTGGGACAGAAGGGTTGTTGTGGGCACCAGCGTGTTATTACTTAACCTAGAACTCAGCATCTGGAAGTGCTAAATTCAGCCTGAAATTTAGCACTAATACATCTGAAATATATTACTCTTCAGAGTTTAAAACTAGGGGTGGGGAAAAAAAGACCCCTTCACTTTGTAAATATTAAACCTATGTGTTTGTAGTGATTTTTTCCAGACCTGGTGTTTCTTTCACTGGGACATCCAGTTATTAACTTATTTCTGTGTAGGTGGGTGCTCATGGCAAGTGTTACTACTCCTTAGTGAAGAGTGAAAGAGTGATCATCAGACAGCATGCTATGAGTAACACTGTAGGATTGTAGTCTGTAGGGTAGTGAAACAGTTGTGGTTACTGCATTTGAAAGTTCGTGCTCTATGAAGTTTAGTGACTAGATTTGTTTAATTGTTGCTTATCTTTCAACAGGAGGATGAAGGAGAAGATGACTAATTGAACACTGATGGATTCCAAACCCCCTTTTTACCTTTTTAATTTTAATCCAGTCCCTGGGAGCAAGTTGCTGTCTTTTTTTTCTTGTGCTCAGTCGCCTTGTTCTCTTGAGGTCTCTTTTTCTCTCCTCTACACCATGGTTCACACTTTTATTTTTGGGGGAAATACCTTGAGCAGAATACGGTGGAAAAGAATCTACCAGTTTCTGTTCCAAGTTCATTTTTATCCCTTTCTGTCTCAAAACAAAAAACTGTTTATGGAATCAACACACCATGTTCTGTGGGAAAAAAGAAAACCTTCTGCTCCCTTCACTCTGCTGGAAGCTGAAGAGTGCTAGGCCCCTGTGTAGTAGTGCATAGAATCTAGCTTTTTTCCTTCTTTCTCTGTATATTGGGCTCAGAGATTACACTGTGTCTCTATGTGAATATGGACAGTTAGCATTTACCAACATGTATCTGTCTACTTTCTCTTGTTTAAAAAAAAAAAGAAAAAGCTAAAAAAAATAAATAAAATAAAAAACTGGGGTTCTAGAAGGTGAGCTGGGTGGGTTTCAGATGTTGGGGTGGGTTACGTGGGCATTTTGACAACATGGCTTCTTCTCCTTTGGCATGTTTAATTGTGATGTTTAACAAACATCCTTGCAGTTTAAGATGACACTTTTAAAATAAAATCTTCTCCTAATGATGACTTTGAGCCCTGCCACTTGATGGAGAATCAGCAGAACCTGTAGGATCTTATTTGGAATTGACATTTCTCTATTGTAATTTTGTTCTTGTTTATTTTTAAATTCTTTTTTTTGTTCTTTTTTTTTTTTTTTTTTTGTTTCACTGGAAAGGAAAGAAAGATGCTCAGTTTTAAACGTTAAAGTGTACAAGTTGCTTTGTTACAATAAAACTAAATGTGTACACAAAGGGACTGGTTGGTCTTCACTGAAAGAAACAGTTTTAATAACCTGTTTTGAACTTGTTTTGTAGTTTCTTGGCATTTTGGGGGGCATTTGGTCAGTATTGATGCAGCTTGAAGCAACCTTGCGGTTGTGTGCACTGATGAGCAGTTCATTGAGTTGCCACTATTTGAATACTTGTGAAATGTTTCGTTTGATAGTTACTGCTGCACACTCCAGTTCTTTAATTGCCAAACTTACTAAGACAGGGCTGTGGGTGCATATGCCTTGTGTGAACATAGAGGTTTATATCTGTGTTTTGCAAGAGGAAAAACCACTTGATTATTAACTATCTGAAGTAGTAGCTTGCAGCATTGTATCTCCGGTAAATCAGTTTGCATAAAGATACCATGCAAGCTCAGAATAAAAAGATCAAGGGGTTTTGTAAATCTTTTCAGTTGAAAATCTTAAGTGCAAACTAATTTTGGGGCTATTTCAAAAAGCAAGATTATTAGCAAAGCTTGTGTACAAAAAGTTGCTACTCGACTGCTTTCTTTCCTTGGTAGCAGCATGTATATATGCTTTAGATCTACTGTACTCTTCCTCATGTTAAGAGACTGCATTTGAGTAGCTTGTAACAATTTCACCTAGAAGTTGTTGGTACTGATATTCCACAAAGTGTAATGAAAGTTGTTTTAACATGCTGTGCTTTTGAAATATTTAAAAGAAAATGTTGTATCAGCTAATCTAAAATTCAAACAGCTAGTTCTCTTTGGATGTGTAGAAAAGACTGTCTTCTGGGAAGACTTGCTGTTATATTCTCTGATTCCTTTTCCTCACAGAATTTGCTATCATTAAATTTGGCATTTTTGATGCTTAAGAATACACTTAGAACAAAATCAATCTCTGTTTAAGACATGCCCAAATAACATGTGGGGGAAACATTCTGTAAGTGTCTGGTCCAGCTTGAATTTAATCCAGTTATCAGAGACAATAAAACATCCAGTCTGCACGTGAGCAACGCAAAATAAGGCAACCATTTACTTCAGTCCATCTCAACAAAAGCTTCTGCCCTGATCCTGCTTGCAGGGTAAAGATGATGTTAATCAGGAATGGTTTCTTAGCATCTAGAGAGAGGAGGAACCAAACCTATGAAGTCTCTTCAGTTTTAATTCTTTTTATTTGATTCTTTGTTGTGAGATTGGAAGCCATTTGCTGTTGTGATAGAGGGTCGATGTGCTATTTCTTGCCATGATGCCTTGTTACTTAATTGTTACGTAGTCCTAACTGTAGCTTTTCAAGGAAAATAATCTTTTCCAGGACTTTTTCATGCTTTAGGAAAAATACTGTACCATTGTTACACCCCTGTTGGTTACTAGCAGAAAACCGCTAAAAACTTTTGAAAGTAATCAAAGCTTCAGGTTCTGTAAATTCAAATCCATGAACAAGAAGTGAGAAGTCTGGATAATGAAATACTACTTCTGAGGTTTTTCTTTGCAGATTGCCTAAATCTTTAGGGTTCAGAGGTTGCCAAAACACTTGCTACTGTATTGATAATACTGAATTGCTTGAGAAGCTTAAGGTTTTACTCCTGACAATGGCTAAAGAGTAAACTAATGTGCTAAAAGAATAAACTGTTATTTAAGTGTAATTTTTTTCTAGCGATGGAAGACATGAGTAGGGATTAGCACATTTCTCTGCAATGCTGAAGAAATACTACAGATGGCCGTCATGTGCTCTGACTGTTCACTTAATGTCTAATTTGGCTGAATGTGTAATGGGTGTCCATTTTTACTTCATTTAATTTGTATATGCATATAATGAGCATTTAAAGCCTTTCACCTTGGATAAGAGTGGGAGATTCATTCTTATTATGTGTCTGTATCTCATTAATTCCCCACTGCTCTTTGAGCTCCTCACATCCAGTTAATGCTGCCAATTGAAATCTGTCACAGGTGGAAGCTGAATTCAGCCTTTCTGGCCTGAATTTCCAGAGTTAGAATATAGAGTTGGCAGCAGTTTAAAAAAGAATGAAACTACTGTTCTGGGGCTGTATGACTTGAATGACTTGAAAGACTATTTTTGTTTGAAGTTTAATTGCTATAAACTGGAATCTTTTGTCTGTAATTTCTAGTGTCAAAGGAAAGCAAATACATCCATGTGTGTGTAAATACAGTTAGAAAGGTTTGGGTTATTTTTAAACAGATGATCTGTGTGCTTATTCATACTTGTCAAGATAGTTTTTGTCCCTGTAAACAAGCATTATCTGAATGGATTGCTCAGTCGTTTATGCCATCATTTGAATCTGTAAGCTTCTCTTTGTACCACACTAAACCAGGTGCACAACCACAGTACTTTGTTTATTGGATATTGTTCCTGAATTTTGAAGCCATTTTTTTTTCTTTGAAAAGACTGAAATCAATGAAATAATTTCTCTGATGTACCTTCAAGATATCCTTCTGTTTGAAGGAATTAAAGTACATTCAACTGTCACTTGATGTTACCATTTCCAAGAGTCTTTTTCAAAAGAATCAGTTACTAGTCCTACACTCAGCATCATCTTTCACTGATCAGGCTGATAGTGACTGCTTCTTTAAAGATACCAGATGCCCAGTGTGATAAGAGTGACAGGAGGTCACAAGTGATTTGAACATGATGCTTGCTTCCTCTGGGGATCAGATTAATGCTTAATCTCTTGCTCTCCCGCTGCTGCATTAAAAATGGAAACTTCTAAGACTTTTTATCATCACCTTCTCTGAGTGAATGTACTCTGGTGGAAGGAGCCCTGTAAGACCTAACTCCTGCTCCCCTGGGTCCTCAGCTAGTGGGGCTCCTTTGTTCCCCAAGCTCACAGGGGGATGGAGGGAGGAGTGGGTGGGTTTCTGCAGCACCCGACATGGGCTGTAGCAGGAGTATTTCCTGGCCAGGAAGGAGTGTAAAACGGGAGACTTGGCAAAGGGCTTCGGGAAGTGAGGGCATCCTTTCCCAGTGCTTCCGCCTTTTAATGCTTGCCAAATGCAATTCATCTACAAGCTGGTGCCGCAACCTCTGGATGGGTTGGTGGAAGGCAGGGCTCCCCTGCCTCGCCTGGGGGGCACAAGACCTGAAGGAAAGAGGGGGAAGCCCTCGTATGAACCCCAAGAGCAGCAAAATGGCCTCTGTAGCCACGACCCCAAACCTCTCAGTGCAAGACAAATACAACCTGAATCCTGGCTGCTGGGACAAGCCCAGTCTGCTGGAGGGATGGTCCTGTCCCTGTCCTGAGCTTCAATCCACACCTACCAGCTTTTACTTTCCCCTTTCCAGTACTTTCAATGAATATGCAGTCTAATAATAATAATTCCTTAAATACTAAACAGAGCCTAGGCCATGTTACAAATAGCAATAGGTTCCAGAGGGTTTATATTAATCTAATGCACTTGCTTTATTAACAACAAGAGCATGATCAAAGGTTTTATAGAAGTTTAAGGCTTTATTAATTCAACTCAGTCAAGATAAATTTCTGCCGATTTCCTAATTATTCACTTGCAGATCATTTACAAAACACTTATGCTAGAAAAAAACATTCTAATTAAATAAAAGGAAACCATTTCTGTTTATTAATTTCTTTCTAAACTTGATTGTGGGAATGCTGTAACCTCCAGATGCCTTCTGACTCAAAGCTGTGCATTGCTCCAGGACCCAAACCAAGCATTTTAGTGCAATAATAACATTACGTAAAACTGCTGAGGAGGGATCTTACAAGTGGTGGTCTTCACCACCTGAAAGCAATAAGTATTTGTGATGTGTTTTAAGCATTATGACACACTGTAAATCAGTTCTGCAAGACAACATAGTGGGGTTTTCACTTGTGATAGCTGGGGGGTTACTGCCAGCCTTGCCAATGGATTTGGGTTCTTTTTTCACTCTAGTCTTCAGCTGAAACACCACATACTACACATAAAGGGGCACTTAGGCAAAAACCAGCAGTGGCAGCGGGGAATGCCCCTGTTCCAGGGGAGCACCCTATCTAGAGAAGAGCTGCAGTTTGCTTGCTCCTCTACCAACAGACACCAGTTACGAGTCAATGTGGAGAACTCAAATTGGAAACCACCCGATATCCTCAGTACAGCACAGCAAGCTGGGCCCAGCCACAGGCATTTTTCCTCACAGCACCCAGAGGTGTCTACAAGTGATCAAAACCCGATACCTGGATAAGGATATCTGCCACTGTGTATGTCCCTGTACTGCCCCTCCATCGCGAACCCACTATTTCTATACCTACACAGAACACTGACCCCCTAAAACCTCTCCTTCCCCAGCAGCGCGACGCGGAGGGGTTGCTGTCCACGCCAGGCAGCGGGAGGTACCTCAGTCTCCTCAGCGTCCGGCCTGTCGCGCCTCTCTCCTTCCCGCCGCCATCCCGCGCCAGGTCCCGGCTGCGCATTTCCCCTCAGGGCGGGCGCAGGCCGCGGGACGACCTCCTGCCAGGGAGGCGTGTGGGGAACGGAGGCTCCCGGCTCCCTGCGGGCCGGCCGCGGGCAAGCTCTCCCGGGCCCGCACCCCGCGAGAGGGCGCTGGCCGGCGGCGCGCCGCTCCCCGGGAAGGCCGGAGTTTGAAAAGTGCCGGTTGCCGGCGGTGCCGCACGGAGCAATGGCGGCGGGGACCCCGCAGGTGAGCGCCGCGCTGAGGGCAAGGAGGGGCGACTCATGGCGGGTGGGCTGAGGGGAGGGGGTTTCCCCATCCTGGGCGGTCGCCTCCATACTTCTGGGGTCCCCTCTACTTTTCGGGGGTCTTCTCCATCTTTCCTGCCCAGCCGGAAGCCCCCCGGCCCCGGGCAGACAGGGAGGGAGCGAGCGGGCTTCCCGCTGTCTCCTCAGCTGGTCGCGGTGGCCGCGCTCTGGGGAAGAGGGAGAGGCCTTGGGGGGCGGGTGGGATCCCCTAAAAATGTCCCTCCCCGCCTCAGGGGAGTGGGGCTCGGGCCAGGTTGGTGCCCGCTGGGGGAAATCCCTGTCTCGGCATCAAGGAGGGGTGGGTTAGCGGGGCGCTGCCGGGGCTGGGAGGGCCGCCAGCCTCCGTGCTCCGAAAAACATCCAGTTCTGGAATAAACTCGGTGCCCTCTTCCCTTGAGGCGTTTCCAGCCTAATCTGGGAAAGATGGGATGGAGAGAGCGGCATAAAAGACGCGGTTCTCCCTGGCTCGGAGCCCTCCACCCTTACACAGACTGGAGTTGGGAAGGGAGCTGAATGGCTCCAGACAGGATTGCAAGTGGCTTTTTACGATGCTTGCAGTGTCTTTTTTTCTTGTAAAGAGTGAATGTGGCTAGCATGTGTGTGCCGACACAGGCCTTTTCCCTACAGCACACAGTTGCCCTGAAGGATGTGATTTTCAATGTCCTGGTGAACACATGTGAGCTTTCTCATTTGAATAGTTTCTGGGTAGTTGATCAGCTCATTTAATCAAACTGTAAATCGGTTTCTGTGTTAGTGGTGAAACTGTAAGAGCCAGGTCTGCCCTGGGCTTTGTGCAGGTGAAGCTTATTGCCAAACTGGGCATAACCAGTAAGGGGATGGGATCTTCCCAGGCTGCAATCCCAAGGACTAAGTGCAGCTTTGATACTGCTGATATTTCTGCCAGTTAGGAAGCAGTGTAGACACTTCAGTGCAAGGAGCCTAGTGGAAGCCCTGGGTGAGTTGTGGAGGCCCTGGGTGAGTTTTGGAAGCCCTGGGTAAGTTGTGGCAGCCCTACTACAAGTACCAAAAACGAGTTTATTTAAGCCTGCTTGGGTACTTCTCTGCAAGTTGTAAATGCATTTTGGGATTGTGTTGGAGCCTTATCCTGAAGGACTGAGCTTTGTGGGGAGCCCAGGAACAGCTGCAGCATGGGCTGGGGCAGTCTCCTGATACCGCACCAAAATTCCTGAGTCAGAATGCAAAATGGATCAATCCAAATGCAAATTCACCTTTTCCATCCTCCTCAAAAAGTCCCTACCCGTGGCAGGGGGGTTGGAACTAGATGATGAGCTTAAGGTAATTTGCAAGCCAAACCATTCCATGATTTTATGAAAACATACCATGTTTAAATTCTAAATATATTTAGAAAAACCAGCATGGTGCATTAGCCAGTATTCATACTAGCTTCTGGCAGAGAGTGATGTGGAGGAAAATTGACCCCAAAACTGCCCAGACTATACCTGTTCTCTGAATCAATACACAGGTCTCTGTATTCAGCTCCCTTCATTGGTATTACACTTGCACCACTACTCATTCCCTTGCTCTGAGCAGACCCAGGGGGTGGATTGCTTACACCCATTTGCATAGTTTGGATAGAAAAGAGATCTGTATGTTTTTTCTAATGGTTTAAATGAGAATTGCAGCCGAACAGACTCCTTTTAGTCATTTGCTACAGAATGGATAAAGAGCTTACTGATTTTTCAACCTTGAGCTGGTAAAGGCTGCCTGTGACTCAGGAACTCCATGATTCAAGTTCTTCCTCACAAAACTTTGGATGTTTATCAAAGCTCTGGCTTATAGTTCCTGGCTTTACTAATTGGGCGAGAACTTCCTGGAATCAGGATGTTAATCTGAGCCTTTTTGTTACCAATCCCAACAACTCCTGTTTTGGCTGTTGTGTATCTCCTGCAGACCCAACTTGATTCTAAGCCAGCTTTAAAATAGATGTTGTTTTTTTCCTTCTTCTTTAACTATTTTGGTGTTAGACTGAAATAAGCAAAAACTGATGGAGGATGTTTGGTAGGGTCTTTGATTAAATAATTGTTTCTGTGTGAGTGGTTTAAGCTTTGAATGCACGGCACACTCCTAAAGTGCAGTATTGTTACCTGAGTAACACAAAACCAGTGTGGTTTATTGTTGCAAATGTGGTCAACCGACTAAGGAGTCTGAAAGCAAGTTGGGATTCCTGAGTTCTGTCTTCAGTCACTGACGTGCTGTGTGGCATCAGTAGTAGAGCTTGACAACCATTGCTTTTGCGTTTAAGCAGGTAGTATGCGGAATCATTAACGTTAGGTTATTAATATATGTATTGCTTTGAATGCCCTAAAGGCACTCTTCCTGTTGAAGAGAGAAACAATGTCTTGCTTGGATCTGTTACAGTTTTAAGTAGCATCCTCATGGATAAAGCTTTCACAGCTCTGGTCTGAGTTCAGTGTTTATGTGGTCAGTGAGATGCACCTCTGCTGCAACTGCCTGTGCTGTGTATGTCCAGAGCCTGGAGACAGAGCATCTCCATCCAGAGCTGATGGTATATCACTAGAACAAGCAGTGTTGAAAATAATGTAGAACAAGCTTGAATGCTACTAATGCAAATCAAAAATAGTCCGTGTTTCTAAGTGGCTTTACCGCCTGTAAATCACAGAGTAGAGACTGAGACAACAATTGGCTCACCTTTGCAGCAACAGCAGAAAGTTAAGTTACTCTGTTGCTTGTTCATTTGTTGAAACATCTGTAGGCTTTACATTTTATTTCTTCATGCATAACAGCCAAGAGTTAATGCATGCTTGTGATATGCCTAGGAAGCTCTAATGGGTTAGTTGGGATGTGTCTTTGAGCAGTCAGCATCAAGACACATCCATGTAAAAATCTGTATCTATTACATCATACTAGTAAAAGTGAATGGTGATCAGAACAAGAGCAAATATTGTCTGGGCTTTGATATTTGAAGAGCAAAGATGTGTGTGTACGTTAGATAACAAGGAGACAATGTGAAGGTTTTTCTCCAGTATGGTTTAAAATGAAATTAAGGCATGTTAAGATCAAAGTTGTGTTCTGTCCTCTGCAATTTAAATGTAGGTCTGGTCTTGTTGGAAGTTTGCTGAAAAGTTTGGCTTAAGAATTTGTTTGAACCAGTTTCTAAATGAAATGAAGGAGTGGAATGTTATGAGGGTATTGCTATACCATAAAAATGGTTGAACTGTGTTATCTCTGAAATCCTATTGGCTTGATTACAGGGCAGCTGTCTCTTGCAGCTGAGCAATGGTGTGAACTTAATGGATCCAGGCTTTCAGCAAAAACTGGAGGGTGAGAAGGAATTGCTTCGCCGTGCTATACAGAAAGAACTGAAGATTAAAGAGGGAGCAGAAAACCTGCGCAAAGCGACAACAGACAGAAAGAATCTTGTTCATATAGAGCATGTGCTGAAATCTTCCAACCGAAAACTGGAGCAACTGCATTGGGAACTTCAGGAGCTTAATGCAAGGATTGTAATAACAGACAAAGAGGAGAATAAGACAGGTAGGGCTTGGGTTATGATTGACAGGAAAATTCTCTTATAGTGCTTCATATTTATATATATTGAATTGATGTATTTTTCTGTTGAGGGCTCAGAAGTAGTAAGAGTTTCTTCTGTTGGTATTTAGCTGATGAAATTATTGTGCAGTAAAAAGTTGAGTATGGGCAATAAAAGTGAAAGAAAGCAACATGAGAGATTGATGCAGGGAGAAGACCAGCTGAGTGCTGGATACAGGTAATATTCAGGCATAGGCTGCAGGTGGAATTGAAGAGATTTGAACAGTTTCTGGGCAGTTGATCAGCCAAGTATCTGACAGGATGAGTGAGTATAAAAGGTTCAAAGAGTGCTTGTTAGAATGGGTTCATTGATAAACTAAGAAATATTGATTTTCATTTGAAAGAGTGTTTTGCAGTCAGTTTTGTAGACAAGACCTTTTTGTACTTCCTTTTATAGACTAACCTTATTTTATAGAGTCACCCATCAATAACCAGTGAAATGACACAAGATAAGATAACTAATGGTATTGATTGTATTGTTTATACAGATGGATCGGTGTCTCCATATCCTTGTCTCTGGGAAAGAAACCCAGACCCCATGGCAAGGAAGGTTGAAGCTCTGAAAAAGCAGCTACATGTTGAAATGAAAGTGAAACAAGGAGCTGAAAACATGATCCAAATGTATTCAACATCTAAGGTAAACAGGAATAAGCAACCATTTGAGAATATGGATTTTTGGATTAAAATGTGTGTTTAAAATCCATACATAAAAACTCTCTCTGATAATTGGTGTGTGGAAGAAATTAATTTGTAAAGCTTGTTTGGCTAAATCCTGTCTCTGCGTTTTGGTTCTCAGCATAGTGGCTGCATGTCACATTACAGCACAGGACAACCAATACTGTAACTGTGCATTAGGCTTCCTGCAACATGATACAGATTTCAAGAATTTAGCAGGAATCAAAAAGGGAGTGAATGATGCATGTTTCATTTGCCAAGGACTTGATCCAACCTATAATTACTGGATGATTGAGTTTGGTATAACCCTATTTAAAAGACAAATTAAAATATTTAAAAGACCCATTAAAAAAAACAATAAATTCCAAACTTATTATGAAGCTTAATTTATCCAGACCAGCAGTGTAGAGGGTGTGATACTCTTATTTGTTAAAAACCTCTGTTCACAAAACAGTGTAAGCACAGTTAACCAGTGAATCACTAGTCTCAGTGACTGCAAGATTTGGTATTATAACTGGTCATCACCTTG